GATAACCTTGCAGTCCTCGCACAACCTTCTGTCGCATCTCCTGAGGAGGAGATAGTCAATCTGAGTCTTCGCCACCGAACTTTGGTAAGTAACCAAATGCTCATCCCGCTTCGTAAAACTTGAGTTCGCAATGACTAGATCGAAAGCCTTGGCAAAGTCCAACAACGAAATGCCCCCTCCGTTCCGCTCCCCGAAACCAAAGCCGCCATGCACCTCAGTGTACCCACCTGCAAATGACCCAATATGACCATTGAAATCTCCTCCTATGAATAACCTCTCAGAAGGCAGTATACTACGAACAATCTCATCCAACCCCTCCCAAAAGCGCCTCTTAATATCCTCATCCAAGCCTGCTTGCGGTGCGTACGCGCTAACGACATTTAAAGTACCCTCGCCCACCACCAACTTAATAGTCATTAGTCTATCATTCACTCGCATGACCTCTACCACAGACTCTCTAACTCTAAGAAAGGCCCATTTTCTTTTCTTTTCTAATGTTTAGTGTTATACTGCAAAGACAGACTTAGTCTGCCAACTATTTGTAGAGACGAGTTTGGGCAGTATATATGCTGAAAACTTTAGGTTTTGGGGCAGAACAAAATGATCATAAGCTCATAACGCAAGTTGCAATGGACTGCAACTATAAGTCTTGGTCAATGTGGAAGCTTGTCGGCAATTACTTGGAATTGTACGTTAGCAAATAATGTTATAAACTTTTTTAAGGGAAAAAATGTGGCTTAAAACTTCCAGTATGTACATTATGGAAATTGACACTTTATACGAAGAATTAAATGGAAGGAATAATTATAACTTATAAGATAGAAATCCGCAAGCCACTATTCGTTCAGTGTTTTTAGTAAACGTATGAAATACGAATAGAAAAGTTGCTATGCGTGTTCATAGGTTGGAAAAGTCTGAATGAGGATAACACAATCGAATCAACGTGCTCCTTTTTCCCTACTTGAGGAAATAAGTTATAATTTGAATTAGCAGAAAAAACTTTACAAGGAACTATTGTATTTATTTGTCGATCTTTTAAATATTTTTTTAGTACTGATCTTATATGAAAACAATTGTATAATACTTTAACTAAAAGAATATTTGCAATGGATCATAAAACCAATCTCCCCTCACATTCTAAGCTTGTCGCTAAAGATGAATATATATATATATATGCTAGATTTTTCTCGGCATATAAGGCTGGCTTAGGGGGATCCCCTCCAGTGATGTTATGTCCATTATTCTTCAGTGGAGCGTAGATTTAATCCACGTGTACAAAAGCAAAATTAAAAGCTTGGATCATTTTACTTGGTACTTTTCATATTTTCTTTTATTTATTTATTTTAACATTTAATAATATTTTAAAACCCAAAATATTTATATGTATTAGTACTCATTCAATTTTATATATTCCTTATATTTTACACCAAAAAATTTGTAAAATAAAGATGTTGAGATATCTATATTTTCAAAACCAATTTCATTGTTCAAAGAAGAAAGCAAGAATAAAATTCACTTTTTGAAGAAAAGAACATTACGTAGTGTTGAAATAAATGAAAAAGTTTGAGTATTAAAAAAATGATCCAGCCCTTACTTGGATGCATCGTTGGCTTGAAAATAATTAATTTACCACTAAGTGTTGAAATAAATAGATAAAAGAAAATTTGAAAAGTACCAAGTAAAATGATCCAAGCCTTTAGTTTTGCTTTTGTACACGTGGATTAAATCCACTACTCCATTGAAAAATAATGGACATAACATTACTGGAGGGGATCCTTTCCCGGCTTAGGGAGCTATAGAGACGTTAACCGCTAAACGAAACAAAAACATAATAACTACCGTCTAACGACACTAAAAGATTAGTTTTAAAAGAATGGAATTAGCTAAAACATAGGTTCTTGCCTTACCGATATATAGAGGCGGATTCAAAATTTAAATTTTATGTGTTCAACTTAAAATTTTTAGGAGGTTCTTAGTACAACTGATATATGGCATATTCACCTCTATGTCCCGCTCGAGGTGTGTTGTTCTCTCCCATTGGCAATATGGCAGGATATTGTTCTACCATTAGACCATTGGTTTATCACTATTTTTTATTGTATTTATACTCTTTAATTATATTTTCGCGTGAAAATAACCGATCGATTTTAGTCGATTTTATTAAGAAAATAAAATTACCGACCGAAATCGGTTGATTTTTTAAAATGACCGACCAATTTCGGTCGATTTGAAATATTAATTTTAAATAAAAAACCGACAAAAGTTTGTCAATTTCTTAAAAAATAAATTTGCAGGACGCAAAAATAGTTCCCGCGTATTGTATGAGTCTGAATTTGACCGACCACGGCCTACAGCTAGCACGACAGGTAGTTGCAAACCCATGAGTCGGTACACGGGTATGATCCAGAGGTGGAAGGGGAAACGTCCCCACGTCGTTAGATTTGTCATAGTGGATACTCCTTAAGTCGTTATCCCCACGGTTGATGGAAACCCCTTAGTATATAAGGGGGATTAAGGCCTTGTAACGCTCTTACCTGCAACTAAATCTGCTTCTATATCCTCCTATTATCTTAGGGGGTAATCAAGCCGGTACTTGTGGATTCAGGGGCGGCATCAAGTCGGAAGAGTGTCGCAGAAAGATAAAGATCTGCACTTCCCTTTTACAACATAGGAGGGAGGGGGCCTCGTTCCTAAAAAGCCTTTCCGATTGCCTCCGCCCCTATCTCTTAAAGCTACGGCATCCCACCGATCCCCGAATCGGCTCTGCTAGTTGGCTTTGTTGCTATCAAGGCATAGCATTCTATGGACTCTTTCCCACGTCCAGAAATGGTATGCCAACAAACACCTTTTCTCCTTAGACAACCAAAGTCTTCTGATGGCAATAACCGCGTTTCCCGTTAAAAGTAAAGCGGTGTTCTCTCTACGCAGGTAGAACCCTACTACCCCTTCATCCTTTGATTGATTTGCTTAAAAAGAGTTAAAATTTTTTTGAGTCAAACAATTTGGCACCGTCTGTGGGGATTTCCATAGTCGAAATCATAGTTCTCATCTAAGATATCGAAAGCAACGATTACTGTTCTCCACACCCCATAAAAACCAACAATGGCGGAAAAAGAAGCAAGGTTGAAGATGATAGCAGATGTCTCAAATAACCTCCTAAGATCCCTCAATAAAGCCAGTAGGGAAGGTATCGAGAATACTACACCAGGAGATACCCCGGAGGGGGAAATCTCACCCTCCCCGCACGAAGATCTGACGGTCTTGCGTGAAAGAGGAGCTTCCACATCCACGGCGAGAGAAACACCACCAACAATCAAAAAGCTGTTAGAAGAATGGTTGACAAGTGCTCTGAGCAACATGCTAGAAAAATCCCCTCAAGGAAATGTCGAAGACTTACCGACGGCAGAAATCGCAGCTACCATTGGCGAGCCAGACGCTACACGGACGAGCAACACTCGAACTGTCGTCGATGCAAGCGATGATGCGCTCGCAATCATCCTAAAGAAAATGGAAGAAATGGAGAACGAGAACAAAGTACTTTGTGACCAAATGAAAGAGCACCAGGAAAGGGTCGACAAAATACCCGGTGCCTCCAAGCTACTACCAAAACACGATGTGGGAAGGTTCGTCGAACAGCCGTACAGTGAGGAAGCTGCTCCTCACCCTATCCCGAAAACCTTCAAAATGCCACCATATTTGAGAATATACGACGGGGCCACGGATCCAGAAGATCATCTAATACATTACATCACTGCGGTAAAGGGCAATGACCTGTCGAAAGAACAAGTTCCACTTGTACTGCTAAAACAATTCGGTGAAACTTTGACAGGAGGAGCATTGACGTGGTATTCCCAGTTGCCAGCACGGTCGATATCGACATTCGAGGAGATGTCATACAAGTTTGCTACCGCTCATGCAGGGGCTAAGGAGGCTGAAGCTAGGGTCAACGACATCTTCGCCATCAAACAAACGACGGGCGAGGGACTTTGAGACTCCCTGGACCGATTCAACAGAGAAAGAATAGGACTGCCAAATGTGTCATAAGGAATGGCGGTCGCGGCCTTCCAAAATGGGTTAAATAGGAACGAATCAAAAGCAACCAAGAAATTGCTCAACAGACTCATGAAGTACCCTCCCACCACATGGTAAGAGATTCACAACGCCTACTGCGCCGAGGTAAGGGCAGACGAAGACGATCTTAACGGCCCGACTCAGCGACTAACGTCAGTCCAGACCGAGGCAAGGAGGGACCGACGTAACGATGGACGAAGGGACAAGCCCCCGCGTTTCAATTGATAAAGGCATCAGCCTTATGTCAAAACATCTAACCCGCCTCCTCCGAGACATATAGATGCCATGCTACGACATGCCGCACCCCTTCGAAACGAAAGAAGTATGCCTCCAGTGTTATCTGCTCATAACTTTTGTGTTTCCCCTTCAGAGATAGTGTACGCACTGGAGAAGCTGGGCACGAAGGTGCAATTGCCACAAAAAATGAAATCGGACCCAAGCGCAAGGAGGTCAAATGTCCTCTACGAATTCCATCAGGAAAGAGGACACAAGACCGAAGATTACATAGGCCTGCAGCAAGAGGTGGTCAGGATGTTGAACCAGGGATACCTAAAGGAACTGCTCAGCGATAAAGGAAGGGCCAACTTCGCCAGAGGATGTGACCCGTCTCAAGGACCTCCAAAACCACCATCGTCGGCACGTACCATACATATGATCATCGGCGGCAGCGATGATTCGGTAATCAACCACGTGAAGTTCACCACCACGCATAAACTCAAACGGACGGTCGCTCACGAACGGTATGATGACTTCGAAGATAGTATCATCTTCGGAAAATCAGATGCCGACAGTTTGTCTTTCCCTCATTATGATGCTTTAGTCATAACATTACGCATCGCTGATACAGATGTAAAAAGAATTATGGTAGACGACGGAAGTGGCGCGTGTATTATCCACCCGAGAGTTCTCGTGCAAATGAGGCTCGAGGATAAAATAATACCGCGTTGCATAACACCAACGAGTTTTAACAATGCAGTAGAGCGGACATCCAGGGAAATAGTGCTGCCCGTCCTCGCTGGGGGAGTCACGTTGGAAACCATATTCCACGTTATGAACCAGGAAACAGCCTATAATGCCATCATAGGATGCCCATGGATACACACCATGCGAGCCGTCCCCTCAAGCTTTTATCAAGTGATCAAATTTCCCACCTCTTGGGGAATATTCAACATTCAAGGCGAATAGCGCACCGCCCAGGAATGCTATCGGATTGCCCAAGATTGCATGCACACCAAATAGCTGAAAGGAGCAAGCGTAGAGGCATAGCAATCAACCATGTCGGGAGCTAAACTCGCACCACCAGCAGAGGTCATTAGAGACCCGGAGATAATAGAAGCCCGCAAGGCAACTATAGAGAACCTCGACCCAGTCCAGCTGGATAATGCTGACAATACAAGAAAGGCTTACATCGGGCACAACCTCTCAGTGCCAGGTAAGTATCATTAATTTTTAACTAACAACGCCGACTTATTTGCCTTTTACCACTCAGATATGCCGGGGATCCCAAAAGACGTTGCCACTCATAGGTTGAATGTCGACCCACTCTATCCGCCGGTACGACAGATGAGGAGAAAATTCAATGCCGCGATAAATGAAGCGGTCAGCGAAGAAGTGGACAAACTGCTCGCCAACGGTTCCATCAGAGAATCGAAATACCCCCAATGGGTTGCCAATGTGGTCATAGTCAAAAAGAAGAACGAGAAATGTCGAATGTCTGTGGACTTCACCGACCTGAACAAGGCATGCCCGAATGATTCCTTTCCGTTGCCCCATACTGACCAGCTGATCGATGCGACGGCGGGGCATGAACTGCTGAATTTTTTGGACGCCTACTTCGGCTACAACCAAATCCTAATGTCCGACGAGGACCAGGAAAAAACAACTTTCATCATCCACCAAGGGACTTATTGCTATAAGGTGATGCCGTTAAGACTCAAGAACGCAGGAGCTACTTACCAGAGGTTGGTTACGAAGATGTTCAAGGAACAGCTCAGCAAGACAATGGAGGTCTATATCGATGATATGCTGGTAAAGTCGGCAAAGAAGGAGGACCACATTAGTCATTTGAAAGAAGCCTTCGGGATATTGCAGCAGTACGGGATGAAGATGAATCCGGAAAAATGCGCCTTCAGCGTGGCCTTAGGAAAATTCCTAGGTTTCCTCGTATCACAACGAGGGATTGAAGTCAACCCGGATCAAATCAAGTCCATCGACATCAGTTCGACCTCTTTCAAACAACAACGGATACTACTTCGACGACAGTCGAAGCAATATCCTAATGGCCAAGGCCATTGACATCAGTTCGACCTCGTTCGACACGACGGATAATACTTTGACGACAGTCAAAGAAACATCCTAATGGCCAAGGCCATCGACATCAGTTCGACCTCATTCGAACCGCGACGGATATTACTTCAACGACAGTCGAAGCCACATCCTAATGGCCAAGGCCATCGACATCAGTTTGACCTCGTTCGAATCACGATTGATACTACTTCGACGACAGTTAAAGTAATATCCTAATGGCCAAGGACATCGACATTAGTTCAACCTCATTCGAACCACGACGGATACTAATTCGACGACAGTCGAAGCAACATCCTAATGGCCAAGGCCATCGACATCAGTTCGACCTCGTTCGAACCACGACGGATACTACTTCAACGACAGTCGAAGCAGCATCCTAATGGCCAAGGCCATCAACATCAGTTCGACCTCGTTCAAACCATGACGGATACCATTTCGACGACAGTCGAAGTAACATCCTAATGGCCAAGGCCATCGACATCATTTTGACCTCGTTCAAACCACGATGGATATTATTTTGACGACAGTCGAAGCCACATCCTACTGGCCAAGGCCATCGACATCAGTTTGACCTTGTTTGAACCACGACGGATACTACTTCGACGACAGTCGAAGCAACATCCTAATGGCCAAGGCCATTGACATCAGTTCAACCTCGTTCGAACCACGACGGATACTGCTTCGACAACAGTTGAAGCAACATCCTAATGGCAAAGGCCATCGACATCAGTTCGACCTCGTTCGAACCACGACAGATACTACTTCGACAACAGTCGAAGCAACATCCTAATGGCCAAGGCCATCGACATCAGTTCGACCTCGTTCGAACCCATTAGGCCATCGACATCAGTTCGACCTCATTCGAACCACGATGGATATTACGTCGACGACAATCGAATCCACATCCTAATGGCCAAGGCCATCAATATTAGTTCGACCTTGTTCGAACCATGACGGATACTACTTCGACGACAGTCGAAGCAACATCCTAATGGCCAAGGCCATCGACATCAGTTCGACCTCGTTCGAACCACGACGGATACTACTTTGACGGCAGTCAAAGAAACATCCTAATGGCCAACGCCATCGACATCTGTTCGACCTCGTTCAAACCACGACGGATACTACTTCGACGACAGTCGAAGCAACATCCTAATGTCCAAGGCCATCGACATCAGTTCGACCTCTTTCGAATCACGACGGATACTACTTAGACGACAATCGAAGCAGCATCCTAATGGCCAAGGTCATCGACATCAGTTCGACCTCGTTCGAATCACGACGGATACTACTTCGACGACAGTCAAAGTAACATCCATATGGCCAAGGCTATCGACATCAGTTCGACCTCGTTCAAATTTCGACGGATATTACTTCGACGATAGTCGAAGCCACATCCTAATGGCCAAGGCCATCGACATCAGTTCGACCTCATTCAAACTACGACGGATATTACTTCGACGACAGTCGAAGACACATCCTAATGGCCAAGGCCATCGACATCAGTTCGACCTCGTTTGAACCACGACAGATACTACTTCGACGACAATCAAAGCAACATCCTAATGACCAAGGCCATCGACATCAGTTCAACCTCGTTCAAACCACGGCGGATATTACTTCGACGACAGTCGAATCCATATCCTAATGGCCAAGGCCATCGACATCAGTTCGACCTCGTTCGAACCACGAGGGATACTACTTCGACGACAGTCGAAGCAACATCCTAATGGCCAAGGCCATCGACATCAGTTCGACCTCGTTCGAACCACGAGGGATACTACTTCGACGACAGTCGAAGCAACATCCTAATGGACAAGGTCATCGACATCAGTTCAACCTCATTTGAACCATGACAGATACTACTTCGATGACAGTCAAAGCAACATCCTAATGGCCAAGGCCATCGACATCAGTTCGACCTCGTTCGAACCACGACGGATATTACTTTGACGACAGTCGAAGCCACATCATTCGACCTCGTTCGAACCACGATGGATATTACTTCGACGACAGTCGAAGCCACATCCTAATGGCCAAGGCCATTGACCTTAGTTCGACCTTGTTCAAACCACGACGGATATTACTTTGACGATAGTCGAAGCCACATCTTAATGGCCAAGGCCATCGACATCAGTTCAACCTCGTTCGAACCACGTCGAAATATATTTCTTTTAAACAATAAAGTTCAACCTCAGTTCAACCTCGTTCGAGACTAAATGTCATGCACTAAACCAAAAGGGAAAACGACGAACAGATAAAGTGACAAAAGTGAAGTTTATATTACAACAAAAATATTATTTACATTCGTCCCTATGGACGGGCCCCAGTAAAACCCTTGTCCAAAAATTCTCAACAAAATGTACAAACTAAAACTACTCGTCTTCTTCAGTAGGGTAGGCGTCTTCATACCATGAATCTGAGTCAAGGTGGTTCACGTCAGTAGAGGTAACACCCTCTCCATCAGGGGTATTAGGGTCGTACTCACATGACTCGCGAGTTGTACGTGCTTCAACATGCACCTCCTGAACCTCCACCTCCATCGCCAGGCCCTCGGCATGAAAAACTCTATATACATCAAGCCGAGCCTCCGAATAGACCCACATCTCATACAAGCGATGAGGCGCGCCCTGACCAATCGGAGGACGAGATGTGGAGGGCCTAGAATGGCGATCTATTTCCTCTTCCCTCGGCAGAGCTTCTTGTCTTTGCAACACGGCCAGCTCCGCCCCTAACTCCCTAATACACCTTTCTAATTCCGCAACCTGACGACCAGAGGCTTCCCTTTCCCCAGCGAGTTCCGATCGGGATATGCAGAGGGCATCTTCCAATGAGACCGTCTCGAAAATGGCGGCGACCAACTTATCAGCACTAGCATTTAACTCGCCCTTAAGCCCATCGATCTCCATTGTCTTGGCACTCAGCTCGGCGTTCAAGCCAGCTATCTTCAACTATAGGTCGGCGTTCTCCGCCGTCACTCCTTGACTCAGTTCAAGTTCATCCTCCATCGCCTTTAGAAGGGCCTCCAATTCGCTGTTACGAGCGATAGCCCTCACGAGCTCCTCATCCCTCTCCTCTAGCTCCGCAACCCCACTCTCCAATTAGGCCTCCCGCTGCTTGAGCCCCTCGCGGAACACCTGGAACTCAGGATCTTGATGGTAGACGTCGGACATCGCCCGGTGTTTATCATAGTACTGCTGGTACTTCATCGACATCTTCTTGTAGAGACCCGTCCTCTTTCTTTCACGGCGATCTCCCTCCACCTCCAAGACGAGGGTCTGAAAAGAAAAAATCAAAGTTAAAACACACCATTCCCATATCACTCCCACGACACGCAGAAAAGAAAAAGGAACCCACCTGTAGGGCCATGCCGGCGACCTTCCGAGACAGTTCTACATTGCTCATCGTCTCGAGCGTCTCGTTTTCAGGAGCGGAGCACAAAGGATTAAGGGCCGATGCAACCTACTCATTATTTAGCAATAGGTTGTAACCCCCTAGGATTATTATGTGACGGTCAGACCCATCCGTCTTCACTTTCATATGGGTGTGGTAGCCCAAAAACTCATTAACGTCTTCCAGAGCGATGTCGGAACCCGACCCGCCCGCTTCCACATGAGGCCCCCCAACGTTGGACAATGCACCCCCTTTAGCGGAATGCGTCAAACTTGCTCCAAGGCCAACTCTCTCGTCGCGGGCTGATCTCCCCGACAAAATGGTGTAGGCCATAAACACGGGCACTGGGCCCGTCCAAGTCGCACCACTCCCATCAGCTTCAATGGCCACCCCCTTTCCCAGCTCCAATCTTCTTCTCTTCCTCTCCAATGGCTCCTCACCATTGGAAGATTCATCAATTGGATGTGGGACCGGCACCAACGAGG